TCTGGTCCAAATCCCTTGGAAGCTGAGGGAATCTTTCAATTAATTCCAGCAGATTTTAAAGACATATCTCTTTTTAAGGAGACTTGAGAGGTGAGAGTGCAGAGAAGCAAGGGACTGGTCAACTTTCCTACATTAAAGTTGTTAACATATAATAGGCATCAGCTAAAGGCTTACAGGTCCATCTCTGGGAGAAGAACAGTGTTTTGTAAGTAAATCACTTTGTCCAGACTAACCTTATTTTGCCCAAACTCCATTTAACTGCAGGGCACTGAAGTGTGAATGTGTTTGGGGCAAAGCTGAAACATTTGTTTTTCCATAGTTGGCAGTTGTTTACCACTCTCCTGGATACACAGCTCTCTTCTGCAGTTCTGCACAGAGAGGGGCCAAGGTTCAGCAGTTAGAATCATTCTCCTTACAGGTGGTACCTGATCAATCACCTCACGGGTGACATGTCACTGCTGACCTCTATATTGCATTTCACCGTGGTAAGCTGTTCCTTTTCTCCCCCTTCCTTGCAGGCCTTTTCTTCACCCCAGGAGCTACGCTGCACTTGAGTTACAATCCATTAGAGGCACCTCCCAGACTGACAGACTTTTAAAACTCTTCACACGCAGCAGCATGAAAAATCTTAGAGGAGTTGGGGCAGTGTAAATCACAGTAGAGACAGGACGTGAAGTTGGCTTTGCAGAGGTTTCTGTATCAGTTACTTCGCTCACAGCAGTTATGTGGTCATCAAAGTTTTATTGTGTAGAATTGGTAAAATAATACACTTGTATAGAAAGACACAGCAGTTACTTAGTGAAGGCCAGAGGAATAAGTAGTGTGAACTGTTCCTGCTCGTGTGTTTTGAGAATAGAATTTTTCTAGCAATTCCACGCATGTCAAGTTTGATGGTGGTAATTTCTGGTGCTCTTGATCTGTGAATAGCTGTTCTTGCTATCTTGGTGAATAATAACTCATGTAGTTCATGCCTCAATCTCTCATTTGTCTGATTCCCTTTCCCTTCAGAAACTGTAGTTGCTCTCCAGCCGTACACAACACAGGACCCAAGGGCGCCTTCCAGGCCTTGTTACAGCTCAGGACTGGATGTGGCAGCAACACCAAATCCTCTGCATTTGATTTAAAGATGGCCATGGCCAGCCTGAAGGTGCTGGGTGCTAAAACCAGGTGGTGAAACAGCAGCAAAAGCTGCAGTACTGCATGTCTGAGCTCACTGTACATGTGGGCAGCAAGGCAGGGGCCTCTGCAAGTGCAGACTGAATTCCCAGCCTGACTTTGGACCAACCACTCAACCTTCTGGTACCTTGGTGCTTTCTCCACACATTTCTTGTGACTTTTACAAGGCTTTAAAATCTTTTAGTCTTGTTTTGTTCTGTATTCCCAAACATGTGATGTTGGTTCGCTTACTTCCTTTTATTCAATGAGTATTTGTCAAACTCACCTGGAAGTGTCCAAGGCCAGCTTGGATGGAGCTTGGAGCAACCTGGGATGGTGGAAGGTGTCCCTGCCCAAGGCAGGGGGTGGAATGAGATGAGCTTTAAGTCCCTTCCAACCCAAACCATTCTGGGATTCTGACTTTGTCTTCTATGACAAGAAATACACTCTCCCTTTTCAGAAATTCCTGTTCCTTGCTCCTGCTCACATTCCTGGCAAACATCCTCAGTTCCTCTTCTTAGTTTTTTTTTCCCCTGTTTCTTTGTATTACTGTCTGTTTACTGTAGGGTCATTATTTTGCCCAATAATGTATTTTATAGACAAAGAACCCCTCACTTTGGTGGGGACGTTCTGTCTGGCCTCAAGAGCTAAACGCCACTTCTGAGCCCTGCTAACACTTTATTTTTATGTGCAAGAAGAAAAGCTCTGTTAAACTGGCCCGAGATCAGAGATGCACGGAAATGAATTCAGGGCCCTGTGCAGTGTGCTGAGTGGATGCTGAGCTGAGCTGTGCTGTGTCTGTACAGGAGGGATAATATCAGCAGCTTCCTGAGCTCCAGCTGCTGCGGACAAAGGGCGCCAGAGTTACAGCCATTCCTGGAGGGAGGAACTTTAAGATGGAGGAATTTTAAAGAATGTGAAGGACAGCCTCTTAAAAAATTGTAGGTGGAGCAACACCAGGTTTTCCTAAGCCCGAGATTTATTCTTCTACTTTGAATTAGTTGCCGTTGTAGCGCTTATCTTTTGTGCTTTTTAGCACAACCACCGTGACCTTTGTGTGATTGCATAAATTGGCCCGAGCACGCTGGAACAGTTATTAGGAACCCCTTTCTTGTGTTGTTTCCTGAATTCCCACATTGTGGCGTGATGTGTGTATGGAAACTGCTCGCTTCCTCCGCTGGCAGCCGTTCAGATGTGTGCTGGAGCTCCTGAGCACCGGCCTGGGCGGGGAGCTGGGTGAAGGGAGGATACAGGGGGAGAGTGTTTTAAGGAAGAGAGTTTGGATTTCATGCAGCTTTGTTCTTTTGCAGTCCCGATAAGGCTGGTATCTCCAGTTGTGTGGGTTGAACACGAGCAGTGCTCCTGGAATAGGCAGCAGAGGAGTCGAGGTTAACACGCCTCGGGCAAGGCTCGCTGCTCCCCAGTGCCTGCATGAAGCAACGCTTGTGCTTTCCTGATGACTCTGCCTCCTCTCTTTACTCCCATATTTTCTTTGAGCATGTGGGAGGGAGACAGGATGTGTGACTGAAGCACAGTTTATAACTCTTTCCCTTGCTCTAGCTGTGCTAATTTCCCTTACAACGCTGCCCCACAGCATCCAGCAAATGTTGCCTTCAGTAGCTGCTTCTCTGCTGCCTGTTCTTTTTCCTTTGGCGTTTCAAACTGTAAGGTTATGGGATGTTAATGAGCTGTTTACATGTGTTTCTGCATTTCTGCCATTAAAACATTCCAGTGAGTGAATGTTGGTTATGAGGGGGGAAAAAATAGATATTTATAGAATGCTGCATTTGGGACTTCTGTAATTTGACTTCCTGAATTTTTGGCCAAGTCTTTCTTTCAATGCTAACATTTGGGGATGTTGGAAAGGATTTATTTGCTCAGAGTGATTAAAAGGTAAATGGCTGAATCATGCCATCTCTCCTCACATGAAGGCCAAATTTCACAGTGTAAGGATTTGACATGTGGCCAGTTTTTGCACTTTCAGGGGTTTTTTGGAAACTGGTGGCATCTTAGCTTCAAACCTTACCAAATTAGTACTGCTTAGTGGGCTTCATATTTGCATGATCAGGCCTTTATGTATTAAATCAGCTGTGGACACACCGTGACAGCTGCATTCAGTTTTTTGTTTCTCTCTTTTTTTTTGAAATTACAAGGTAATGACCAGGAGCCAAGTGGAAGCTGTCACTGGGAGGTTGTCCTCCTCTGGAGTTCAGGACAGGAATGGTCTCACTGGGGGAGGATTCCAGTGCTCCCTATGCAAAAGCTGAAGGAGGAGGTGGATTGTGAGAAAGGCAGGGTAGATTGTTTGTACACAAATAAGTCCCTACTGAAGGACCAGTTTGTTATCTGTCAGCCTTGTTTAGACTGGGGATTTGCCCTGATTACAGGGACTGGGTGAGGAGAAGTTGGTGTTGCTTAGCCCATTTCAGAACAAGAGCTTTGCCTCTCTGGTGCAAAGACTGGTTCCACTGCAGAGCTGTGTTACTGCCATTACTAATCCTCTATTAGATCTTCCAAAACAAGACTGCCTGAAGTATTTCTTTTTAGCAGCATTTTTGGATCCTTTTATAGGCTTTTGAATGGGGTCACGTGCACAAAGGTGGTGTGTCCATGCTTTGCTGTAAAGGTTGTGGAATGTTTAAAGATAAACTGTTTTAGGAGTTGAAATTCCACACTCTGATTCCAGGCACTAAAGCCTTCAGCAAAAGCCACCTCTGAATGTGGCCACCATCTTTTATCCTGTGATAAAATGCTGAAAATCAGAGTTGTATTTGAGAAGTGTCTTCAGTCTCATCTTTTCACACTGACCATTATTTCCAGCTGTGGCAGAGTAGTAGAGGTCTGTGGATATTTCCTGTTAGGATAGCCTAAGCTTTGGAAGACCGTGCAGTGTACATTTTGGTTTTAAGTAGAACATGATATACAGGGATCTCCTTTAATACCCTGCCTATATGCAGTTAGTCATGACCAGTTCTTGCCTTGCTTTCATTTATTTTCAGCATTTGGCCAGCAAAAAGGGGGGTGAGTCCTGGGCTGGTGTACTTTGCTATAAACCCATTTCAGTCCAGTGTCTTGGCAGGCTGGTTTTGGTGGGGCTGACTCCTGTTGGTGTTTCCACAGCCGCCCAGGTAGCTCCTCCTGCAGAGGGACCAGGGCTGTCCTGGGGGGCACTGGGCACAGCATCACCAGCCAGGCCAGGGATGGGATTGTCCTCCTGTGCTGTGCTCTGCAGTGAGGTGTTCTCACCTCAAATGTTTTGAGCCATTTTGGGCGCCACAATATAAAAAAGATATTAAGCTTTTAGCAGAGTGTACAAAGGAGGCCACGAGGATGGGGAAAGGTCTAGATGGAAACTCTCATGAGTGGCTGAGGTCACTTGGTGTGTTCAGCCTGGAGGACCACAAGCCTCGTTGTGGTCTTCAGCATCCTCCCAGGGGCCGTGGAGGGGCAGCTCCGATCTCTCTCTCTGTGGGCACGGACAGGAGCCAAGGGAACGGCTGGAGCTGTGTCAGGGGAGGCTTAGGTTGGGTATTCGGAAAGGTTCTCGCTCCGGTGGGCGCTGGGGCACTGCCCAGGCTCCCCAGAGAAAGGGCACAGCCCCAAGAGCTCCAGGAGCGTTTGGACGCCGCTCCGGGCACAGGGTGGGGTTGTCGGGGTGCGTGTGCTGGGCCAGGATCCGCAGCGCTGCGCCCCGCGGCTCGGGCCGCCCCGTGTGCCCGTGTGTCCGTGTGTCCGCACACAATAGCGGCGGCGGGCGGAGCGGAGCGGAGCGGAGCGGGGGCGGTGCCGCGGGCGGGGCGGGCCCGGGGGCGGCGGCGCTTCCTGCCCGCCCCGGCCCGGCGCGTCCCGCGGGCCGCCCGCGCCCACAGCAGCGGAAGGAGGCGGAGGAGGGAGCCCAGCCGCCCGTGCCGCCCGCTCCGCTGCGCTCCGTGCCGCCAGCCTGCCCGGTGCCGCTCCGCCGCCGCGCACAGGTAACCGCGGAGAAGCAGCGAGCGCAGCCGAGCCCGCCCGGGCGCGATGCCGCGGGCCGCCCTTCGCTGCCGGGGCCGCGGGCGCTGCGACTGCCCCGGGCGGCGCTGCCACTGACAGCCGAGCTGCCACCGCCGGGACGCGGACTTTCCCCTCTTTGTGTTTATTCTGCCGCTCTCGAGGTACCGCTATCCTCCTCCCAGCGACCGCGGGCAGGTCCTGGCTGACTCTGGGATTTTTTTCTACCCCCCCCCTTCCAGCTCGATTGCCTGTTCTGAAAGTATATTTATTAAATAAAAGAAAAAGCCGAGCCACAAATCCAGTTCGTATCACATTCCCCGTATTGTGGAGTCCGGTTTATTTGTGCGTTGAAAAAAGTTTACTCCCCCTCCTCCAGTTTTATTGACACTGAGGATGAAGAAGGATTTGCAAATGAAAGCGCCTTGAAATACAGCATCTTTTGGAGAGAGCTCTGCAGTTCTCCAGCCCGTTAAATCTCGAATTCCACCCTTTGCCCCTGCTGAATCCACTGTTGTGCCCTTTACTCTCTGGGGTAAAAAACCAAACAACAACAACAAAAACCCGAGGGGAAAAAGAATACCTTTGGCAGCAGGGAAGCTTTGTGTGACTGACCCAACGAGCTACAAGTGTCCAGTTTCTGAAAAGAAGAAAACCCTTTTGTCTTCAGCGGATCGGTAGGTAAGAGATGTGCTCATGCTGGAAGGGACTCTGCATTCTTTCTCCAGCCTTAACCTGGGAGCTAGACTGGCTCTCTTCTCTGTCAGCTTTTGTCCATCACTTCTCTCTCTTGTAAAGTTTGCTTTTCATCTTGCAAAAGAAAAAAAGAACAAAATACGCTCATCCACCTCTTTCACCAGTGGTAGTAAATTGCCAAAAGGAATAGTGATGTACTTGTGTGTAATTGCATTGAGTAAAACTCGGTGGAAGTCGCTGAAGTGGGTTTGTGTCAGGCCGTGTTTGAAAGCAGCCGTTTCTTGTGGTGCTCTTTTCTTTTGAGAAAATAATTGCAGTCATTGTGCTTGTAATCCACGTGTTGAGATTGTCTTTGCTGGTCATGCTGCACAGAGGAGCATCTATGTGCATTTCTGTATCACACGTGCAAACAGGGCTGCCACCATCGGCTGATTTCTTGTTTCACACTGGAATTTGTTTTACATTAAGTGCTTTACTGCTGTGTCACAAGGTGTAAAAGTGTTGCACCCATAATTAGCACGCCTTAACAGATTATTGAACATGGTCAGGAGCACGCTTGGCACTGTGCACAGTGAATATGAGGGGATGTTTTCTTTGTTTTTAGATTTTTTTTTTTCCCAAAGTAAGACTGAAAACGCAGCAGGGACATGTGCACATAATAACTGGATGGAGGCCCAGTCTCTGTGCAGGGAAACATATTTTGCAGAATACCCCTTTCTGTAGGGGCCAAGTGCTGAGTGTGTCCTGCTTTGCAAGTGATAATACCACAGTGAATGTCTCATTTTCCTTCTCCCCCAGCTCTGTACCCACATTCCTCCTTCCTTCTTTGCTACCAGGCATTTCTGCAAGGGAAGGACCTGTGGAATTTTGTGTGGCTGCTAGTGGGACTCTTTGTGTCAGGGAAGATTGTATTGTTCCCTGTGGAATCACACAGCATCCCCCAGCAGGAGGAACTGCCTGTTCATGTGGTGAAACCAGCCTTGACATTGAGCTCTTCCCCGCTGCGTGGGTTTTTCCTGTGGATGATACAGGAAATGCTACATATTGGTCTGTCCTGCTCCCTGTTCCTCTTTCTTTTTTAAGGTTTTTTTTTTTTTTTTTTTCCCCTTCCTCTTCCCTGGAAGGATTTGTATGGGAAAAGAAAGTGGAATAGGTGGGGCGGCAAGTCAGTGTGCTGAGCTGCTGGGCCCTCAGAGACCTGGGGGTGCCTCAGTCTCTGCTGAGGTGCAGCAGCCAGTGGGGCACCTTGCAAGGGGACTGGGGCAAGTGACTGACCAGGATCCATCCTGGGGCAGAGGACAGGGTCTTGGTTTTGGCTCCTGTCTCACATTTTTCTGCTTGACTATTCCAGGGCACTGAGCCTTGTCTGCCACGTCAGGGTGGGAACACAAGAGCTGTGTTCTCGAGCTTTCCCTACGCCCTCGTGCTGCTCCCGTGTGAGCGATGGGCAGCATCACTCAGGTTTTTCAGGGCTGCTGTGAAAACATGAACCCTACCATCAGGCCCATGACCCTGTTAAATCTCTGGGTCACTTTCACCGGGGTTACCTCAGTTATTGCTCCTCGAGGGAGCAGGGTCACGAGCTGACCCTGGAAAAATTTGTGCTGTAGTTGAAGTTGCAGGTTCATCTGGGACACCTGGTCTCCCTCTCTTTTACTGCCAGGACACTTATTTGCAACATAACCCCATCCCTCAAAGATTCCTGGGAACCAGAAAGACAACGTAGAATGATTTATTTTTCTTGAGGAAAGGGTGGGCTTTCCAGGTGGAGGGAACGGGGTCCCTGCTCATGCCACAAGTGCTTTGCCTTTTGGATTCTGGAGGTTTTTTGCAGCAGCACTGGCTGCCCTGGGGATGGGGGCTGGAGGCAGAAGGGAGCTGGACAGAGTGGCCGTGTGGTGGGACGTGGGCTTGGAGTTTGGCATGACACTTGGATTTAAATAGTGCTGACTGGTTAATGTGCTGATAGCGTGGTTCATCATCCTGCCTGCTCCTGGTGACACAAGACATCAGATTGTGCCATAAACGTGGGACAGGCAAAGCATTCCCCTTGCCCGGAGTACACTTTGGAGTAATGCTTTGTAGCAGAGAACGCCACAGCTGGGCCACAAGGTTTTCGTATGCCTGTGATACAAATGTATAAAAATTCTCTGTGGCCTCTAATACAGCTCAAAGGGCAGCTGATTTAGACGTGCCTGAGTGTTGAGGTCAGGAGATCACATTCCATAGGTTACTAGATGAAAGTGCTTCAAGAGGGTATAGCATAAATATTTGATTCATGTAGAAGGGATTGGTGCAAATCCTTTTGTTCCTTCCCCAAAGATGTTCTGGAGGAAAAGCGCTGTTAGGAGGGAAAAAACCAAACCCACCGAACAACAGAAAACTTGTAACTTCTTTGTGCTAGAGGAAGTTGGATGGTAACATAGTGTATTATTGCTGAATTCCACTAAAATTCTTCTCGTGGGATACACGGTCTTGGAGAACTCTGAAGGGAACTAATGTTTTTAAGTGTAAAATGACTCATAATGCATGGGCTCTTGAGGTTGGGTTTAACATTGTATGCAAACATTGCCAGCTGGTGGGGATCTTTTGGGATAAATAAGAACTGTATTTGCACAAGAAGGCTTGAATGATGCATTTCAGATGCATCCTGATTAGCATAAGCCATTCACTTTGCAAAAGAATAGCCAGAATCCCAGAAGTGGAGATAATTTAATAGTTCTCTTGTTCTCTTTAGTCTGTCTTGCATCAGCAGACTGATCAATCTTTTTGTTTATTTAGAAATAAGGTTGCATTGCTTTGCTGCCACATTTTCCTAACCATGACAGTGAAATTGAGAATTTGCATCCCCCAGGTTCTCAGAGCATAAATGCTTCTCCCACTTCTAGCCCTTCCTTTTGTTTCCAGTTGAGTGTAATGTGATTTATATATCTTTTTTTTTTTTTTTTGGTGGTTATTTTGATAGAACAACTTGCACCGTTTAATTCTTCCTAGGGCTCAGCACAATGATGCCTTACTCCATGGCTGGGGCTCAGTCACTGCAATGAGCAAACAGCTCAAGGAAAATTTGAGCTCATTAAAGCTTAATTTTCTTAATGTGGAGTAAAATATGAGCTTGGTTTAGATTGTTGTATTAATGTATACACAGGAATAGGTCTTCAATTTTAGAATTGTCAACAGTCCAAGAGTGTGTTAATGTATAAATTCTTCTGGCAGTGAAAGAATTTGTCTGTTTATACCCCCCTTGTGGGGCAGAACTCCTTGTGCACTTTTTGTTTCATTCTTACTATTGGCTTTTAAAGAGCTGCAGAGCTCTGGCCTGCAGGGAAGACAAAACCCAGTATAATAAAGTTCTTACAAGTTCAGAGTATGCATTAAACTAAAACCTGGTTCCAAACACTTGTAAATGATGAGATTCTCTGTTTGGTGCAGAACATGTTGTGTGCTGGGTTCTGTTGTGAATTAAAAAGAAAATGATGACCTTGTTCTTGGCAAAAGGTTCTTGGATTAATGGATGTTCCTACTTTGGGCTGAAGTGTAAATGCTTTCAGAATAAAGTAAGATGCCTGTTTTTCCCTATCTGGCTGTTGTTGCACATTCCCACATTTCAAGGTATTTTCAGACACTCACTTTTGAAGAAGTCCTCTCAAAGGGTTCCTAATCAAAGTAGCCTTATGGATTTTTCCCCCCTCCTTGCTATTTTGGACGATATAGTGGGAGTGGAATGTCCTTGGTTGCCAATGTTTGCTGCTAGGTATCCCCCTTCCATGGAGACCAAGTGTTTATAAAAGTGTGAGAACAGCCATTCTTGGGGATTGGCAATAAGGTCCAGGCTCTCTTTCTCCTCTTCTATCCACTGAAATACAAGAGAGGACTTGGTTCCTCATAGAAGTGTTCCAAACTGCCTGTTGCTGGGGTTATACACTTGCAGGAAGCACTAGAGGATTTGTCAAAGTGATTTAGTCCATTGTGTTGAATCTGGGCCACAACCCATTTCTCTAAGCTCATTCCTTTCAGGAATTCTCTGCTTTTCTTACTTTCTGATGAGTAGGTACTTTCTAGGTTAGGCTTCCACATACCCTGGTGCCTGATCTTCTCTCTGCATGTGCTCTATATGTGGCAGCAGCATCATAATGTAGAGTTAAATAATTGTCTTTTATGAAAGAGCAGGCACCTACCTGCCCTGTGAGTCCAGTTTGGCTGCAGGAGTTGTTAAACCCTCTTATACAGGAGTGTGTATTCCCAAGCACCTCTGGAATGCAGTGCTGGCCACAGGAAGAACTTCATGCTGCAGCCTCCATGGCCATACCTTCAGCCTTTCCAAAAGCATTTGATCCATGCTTTGGACAGACCTGATACTGGAACTGTGTCCATGTGAAAGTAATGGGCTGTATGGTGAACTCTAAAGTCAGCAAATATCCAAATCCTGCATATTACCTGGTCTCCAGAGTAGCCTTGAAATGTTGTCTTCAGGACAGGAAAAAGATCCAACAACTTTGGGGAAAAATAGTGTGAAGTTGTTCCTAGGAGCAATGAATTTTTAAACATACAATATAATCTTTCTTACTTGCCTACTATGCTGTAAGTGAAAGGAGTTTTTTGTGGTTGATGGACACTTGTGTTTACACGGACACTTGGATGTAGTTTTTAAAATAAGAATAGATTTAAAACTTACTTGTGTATAAATGGCCATTCAGGGCAAACCAGACATTTGATGTCAGCAGTAGCTCAGTGCATGAGGGGTGAATAGGAATAGAAAATGAAATGTTAATTAAAAAAGAAACCCTGAGAACAGAATTCAAAGGCCTGTGGAAACAAACGCCTCAAAGCTTTAAAATCCTGCCTTAGCAGAGTGGAGAGGTTTGTGTGAGGAGCTCAGTTTAGGTGCAGGAGGAGCCTGTGTTGGAGTCTCGCTGGGATGGAGCTGAGGCCGTCCCTGGTGGTGGTGGTTGGATGTGTCATCCCTTGTCCTGGGCAGTCCCACA